GCCGGATACAAAGGAACCGCGGGATGGTAAAGGAATAAATACAGCGCCCCGGCCGGCGGGCGCTCGCCGCTGCCAATCCGCCCGCAGCAAGTTTGTTCAACCGGGAGGCTGCGGGTAACCCGAGCCGCGCAGGGGGTGGGGCGACGGGGCCGCCGCGCGCCGGACTGGGGAAAAGGGCGAGCCGGGGGCGCTCCGGGCCCGCGCGCTGCTCCGGCGACCCCGGGCGGCCCCCTCGCGGCCTTGAGCCAAAGTGTCCCTGCTAGCCCGCCGCTCTGTCATCTGTCAACATGCGCTACAGCTGTTTGCTAAAATCATCCTTGGGAGAAAAGAAAACATAAAGGCAACATTCATGCTGCTGCAGAAAAGGCCCTTTGTTCACGCACGGATTAATTGGCCGATGCCGCTGCTGGAGGATTATTTACTATTTCAAGCTATATTTGGCATATTTTGCCCAAAACTGCAAGTTTTTCTTTCTTTCTTTCTTTTCTTTTCTTTCTTTTTTTTTTTTTTTTTTTTTGCTGGAATTTTAGTAGGATCGTTTTGAAAGCGAGTTAGGCTCGTTTGCCAGGTTTCTCAGTCCATATTATGGCTACATATTAAATAATAGCTCACAGGCCAGCTGAAAATAAGGACTGTGTCCAGGCGAGGACACTTTAGATTCTTTCTTGATGACACACTGAAGGGACGATTGCGAGTGTCCCCCGCAGGCCCCAGGCGGACTTCCAGGCCGGGAGCACAGGGTGACTGTAATAGCACAGGGCCGGGCGCATACCGGAGTCCTCCATAGACAGTAGAATTCTCACACGTACACTGTGTGAAAAGAGTTCTTGTTTACCCTTTATTTTGCCCTACTTTAAAATTGTGCAGTTTCTTTTCTCAGCAGAGCTATTTTAAGTGTGTGAGCAGGAGCTACTGAGGAAGGAGTAAGCGGCTGTAGGGGCCTCTGGAGGGTGAATAGCTTTTTATTCTGGGCCCTGATGGCTCCTTTGAAAATAGTTTTTATGCTAGGGTAGGGTAGGAGGGAAGGTAGGCTCTACATGGTCACTGATTTTTCAGAACTTAATTGCCCTCTCCACTACCTATAATTTAATAATCTCTAGACTCTTATCTTGAAAAATTCAAGCATAGGACATCACCTTTGCTAACAGATCCAAAGCAAATATTTTATGTCTTTATTTACTTGGTGCATGGGCTCTGTCACACAGCTCGGACTCGTAATGATCCTCCTGTCTCAGCCTCTCCAGCGCTGGGATACAGTCAGTGGCCAGCTCTGCGCGCCTGGGGTTTCTGGGCAGATCAAACCCGGACCTTTGTGCTTGTCAAGCAGTCACTTAGACCGCCAAGCTATCTCCCCAGCCCAAAAGCAAATATATTTTAAATATATACAGTCCCCTCTCAGAAAGCACAGGTCAAACACAAAGACATAGAATGGATGACTGAATAAGGAAAATGTGATGTCTAAATACAATGAGATTCTGTTTTGCTCTAGGTAGGTTCTCACCAAGTTGCCCTGGCTGGTCTGGAACTCACGGGCTCAAGTGACAGTCCTACCTCAAGCTTCCAGAGTAGCTAGGTATGCAGGCCTCTGTCACCAGCCTTTAGAATTTAAGGAAATCTGGTTATATGCTACAATACAGATGAACTTTAGGATATCATGCTGAGTTCCAGTCCAAAAGAACAAGTCCACTTACGCGAGATATCTAAACTAGTTAAACTCTTCCAAATTGAAAGTAGGACAGTGTTTACCAGGGACTGGATGGAGGAAAAGGGGGAGTTAAGAATTCCAGGCTGTGTCATCAGAGAAAAGTTAATGGAAGGAAACAAAGAGTTCTGGAAGGAAAGGTCAGCAGAAGGAATATTTTAAAAGAACTGCACAGACATGCAAATCGTGCCCGAAGGTGTGGAGTCGGCATGATCGTGGCAAGAACTGAAGGTAGCGCTGGAGTGCAGACACCTGCATGAAGCCAGGCAGAAAAGAGACAACTGGAGGCCTCCCCAGATGACTCCAAAGTCAGGGCTAGTGATACCCAAGTTATAGTTTGGGAATCCCTGGTGTAGATAGACCTCACCATCACCACCACCCTACTCTGCATAGGTGACAAAGTCTGCCGAGGTGCTAACAAGCCCACTTGCTCTTCCGAGGTAGCTAAGCTCCATTCCTAAACTCCTCACACACAGCTAGGGCCCTGTGAGTAGTCATCCCCCATGGAATGCAACACAGCTGACCAGCTAAGAGACAACTCGCCTTCTCTGCTTTCTTTTATCCTTCCATCAATCAGATGAAGCCCGGTCAGCCTGGAAGCCATATGTTTAACAAGACGGACACTGCAGTGAGGAACCAGTCCCTGGGCGGCTGGTTGTAGCAGAGCCTCCTCACAGCATGCACTGGGCTCTGATATGAACTAGAAGCCAGTCTTTACTGCACCAAGTCAGACGTATTCAGGTCAAGTTCTATAGCAGCTGGTGTTACTGGTCTTGACTAACACACTATCACAGATGGCCCATTCCCTGACATCTGAATAAGATGTTCATATAAGATCATTTTTATGGGCTGGGGAGATAGCTCAGTAGAATAAGCACTTGCCTGGCAAGTGCAGGGTCCTGAGTTCAATCCCTGGTACTGCAAAAAAAGAAAAAGAAACTATTTATTAAATTGTAAAAACAGGGGCCAGGGAGATGGCTCAGTGGAATAAGCGCTTCCCTGGCAAGCGCGAGAGCCTGAGTTCAATCTCCAGTTCTGCAAAAAAAATAATAATAATAATAATAATAATAATAATAAATAAATTGTAAAAACATTAAAATGGCCCAATTTAAAAAAATAAAAATAAAAAAGATCTTTTTTAGTACCTTTCTTTTACATTAAATCTTTACTTAGTTTATGTATCTCTCAGCTTTTCTTCACTTCAAGAAGACAAAATACCTGAGATAAATGGCTTAGAAGAGGAAAGGTTTGTTTTGGCTCTTGGCTTCAGGGGGCCCAGGGCACAGCTGGCGGCTCCAGGGCTGGGGACTTGAGCTGAGGCAGCAGCCTCATGGGGAGAAGCCTGACACGGCAAAGCTGCTCACTTCAGGGCACCCGGGAACCAGAATAGGAGGCGAGAGCCACAAGCAGGGATCAGGGGCCAGGTGGAGTCCTCCAGGTCAAGCCCCTGATCCACTCCCTCCCACTAAGCCCGCTTCCTGTTTCTATCAATGACATCAAATTATGATCACAAGAATGGATTGACCCACTGGAAGTGAGAGCCTTCACGTGCAGTCCTTCCCCCAGCCTCCATCAACTGCCAGACAAGCTTTGGAGAACATTTCAAAGCCAAACCTCAGCAGTTTTTATAGTTCTTGTCTTCCTTATTAGCAGCATTTTTTTCAAATTTATTTTTAATTAATTAATTTATTTGTTTATATTTAGTACAGGGTCTATAAGGTCTCACTACATAAACTGGACTCCTAGTGATTCTCCTGTTTTTAGCCTCCCAAGCGCTGGGATTACAGGTACAAACCACCATGCCAGTCTCAATCGCTGGGGGTGGGCCCAGCACAGATTGAATCCCAGCAGCTGCGCTCTGCCTAAGCAGGCGCCTTAGCTCCCTGAGCTGTCTGGCCAGCCCTACCATATTTTTTTAAAAAATGTATTTGATAAAGAGTCTCACTAGGCAGCTCCTACTTGTCGTGATCTTCCTGTTTTCAGCCTCCCCAGTGCTGGGATTGCAGGTGTGCGCCACCACTCCCGGACTTGGTAGGCTGCTGAGTGTACCCTGGGGGCGGGGCTGGTGCAGCATGTGGTGTCAGGGATCAAACACTGGCCCTCCCACTTGCCTAAGCAGGTGCTTGCTCCACTGAGCTATCTCAGCAACCCTTGCAGCATTTTTAAAGCATATTACTTTTACTAGAACAAATTGGAACGTACTAGTTTATTACATATTCTCAACCTCAAGGTTACTGGGGAACACACAGAAAAAGCTTCCAACCCAAACAATATTTGTTCCTTAAAGTTTTAGTGGCCAAGATGCTGCCATTTCATTTTCCTTCTGTTAGACGTTTTGATCCCAGGGTGAGATGTGGCATATGGTCATGTCCAGTAACCCGGGGAGCTGTTGCTGGTTAGAGCTTCTCGGAAGTATGCTGGTTCCTTCATGACTAAAGAGGAAGCGAGCACGTTGAGGGCAGCCCTGCAGAGCGAGGCGTGGCACAGGATGGTTCCAACTTGCGTCATGAAAACGAGGCTTCTACAGGTGCATCTTCAAGACCCACTTGAGGAGGCAGCGAGAAAGGTGCCAGAGAAGCTGAGATCTGAAGTTAGCTGTCCCCATATTATTAAAGTTGACCAGAGTTGTTTTATCAGAGCTATCTTTTCTTTTAAATATTAGAGTTTCATGTTCATTTAAAGTAAGTGTCTAAGATTAAAAACAAGCAAAATGGTAAGACCACTTAGCTATAACAGTGGTCCTCAAAGTTGGATGCAAGAGATCCCGCTGAAATTCTTATTTAAACTTCTATCCACAAATTCATATTTTTCTTTTTTCTTTTCTTTTCTTTCTTTTTTTT